TTTTTTTTTTTTTTTTTTTTGGTAAATTTTACTGTGTATTAAGGCAATCGGTTATTAATGATTCAAAGTGAATTGAAAGTGCCACATTTTGTTTATTGTCAGCTATTTGTAGTCATTTTTTATTGTCTTTGCTGAATTAGTTTAATCCATATCTAATATACTGTTAAATTAGTAAAAAAATTTTTTGTAGGTTATTAAGAGCCAAAAAAAAAAAAAGAAAGAAAAAATTGTGTCTTATTTTTTTTTTTTTAAATTTATTTTACTGTAACCGAAGAGTTGAACAGCAAATCTGTTGAGAACGGCTTTAGTCTAATTGTGTGACATTTGAAAGCTCTACCTGATCTTTGATGCTTTAACGTTCTTTTACTGCTATCAAATAATGGATGCATCGTCTGCCGGCATTCCCCGCTTTTCCCCCACTCTCCTGGTACTTTAATCTGTAAACGATTATTAATTGATTTTTTTTTGCTGATAGGGCAATTATGTTTGCTTATCACCAAGCCTACTCAATTTGAAGAGAATCTTTTCAATGCTTAACTAAAATTTGATGTTAAATTTGAAGTGTCATCAAAGTTTCTTTTCCTTCTTTTATGTTCTGCAGCGATTTCTCACTTGGTTCGTTTGGAATAAATAGATTCTTCTGATATGACATACTCTGAAAGCTTTTCAATAATTTCAGGTGGTGATGACGGAAAAGACGGCAAAAGAGATTATACGTAGGGTCAATCATGGTATTCCTGGAACTTTACCGAATCAAGGCACGTCACAGGTCTTTACCCATGTGGACGATCCACATAAGTCAATCGCAGAATTGATTAAACAGGGCAAAAGGCTGTACGTTAAGAGTAACTCACAAAGCAAACACCAGCATTCGAGCAAGGTTTATGGCTTAAAATAATTGAATAAATTTGTATCCACTGAAGATTTAAAAAGAAACCATTGTATTATATTTTGCAGATGCTTTATTTTCTACTTGAAAACCGGCATTGACAGTTACTGCCTTTGTTTGCCACAAAAATTTACCATAAATTAGTTTAATACAGAATGCGAACACGTTACCGACTTCGTTTACAAAAAGGCCAATACCAATGAAATCTCGTGGTTCATCAGCGGATCATTCTCGAGAAGGCTCCAGTGATGACGGAAGTGGACGCTATACACTGAGTCCAACAGTACATTCTCAGCAACATTCTTCTCAGCAAAATCTCCCAAGTCCGTATCAAAATCCGTTTCATGCACGTCAAGGTTCTGCTCCAGCAATTATGAATAGTCCCGCAGCATACGAGTAAAAATTCTTATTTATTCCTGCAATCTTATTAAAACTTCACTTCCGCTTTTCTTTTTTTTTGTTTTTTTTTTTTTTTCTAAGATTTTTGACTTTTTTTTTATTTGAAATACCAAAATAGGATTGAAAATCTGGTATAATTCCTTTTTTAATTAAAACTCTGTGGCTAAAAACAGCTTCTTTTCTGTTTTTTTTAAATTTTCTGATTTTTTGCAATTAAATGAAAATATTTAAATTTTTAAAACAGTTTTCTACCGCTGTTTTAGACGACAAATACCAACGCCTGTACACGCACCATCTAAGTCACTAAGTGTTATGACAATGACACGTGTTGATGATCAGTTCAATATGCCTTCACATCGAAGCGCTAAAAGTTGTGATCTAAATGTTACCAACCATTTGGATATTTCTTATCCAACTGATACCAATGTTATGTATTATGAGTAAGCTTTTAACAAGGATTACTAAATTTTTAATACTAAATTTTTATCAACAATGAAAAAAAAAGTAGTTGCAATGTTTTAATTAAATATTCTGTTCCAACTATGCTATCAAATTTTAGTCATCCAAATCGAATGGCATATATGAACGACCCTCGTCCAAAAAGTCAATCCTTAGACCCGTTGGCAGTTGGTATGTCAGAATCTGCACAACTTGCTCCTGCACAACCAGTTGTTCCCAACAAAATGCAATCTCCATCACATAACGTTAGTATCCTCTTTTTTTTCTGGTATTTCTTCTCTTACTTAATTTACATTTGGCAATAACACAAAGGCATATAAAAGACGATGACAAAGATCGGTCTTAAAAAATTACACTGTCTCTTCAATTCTTCATTTTTTCTTTTCTTAACATAGTATAAAAATGTTGTTTTAAAAGGATTAAATATTTTTAATTTGCTGTAGCGTCTTTTTTTGCCAATTTTTATTCTTCTTTTTCTATTTATATATATTTTTTTACTTGGTATTTTTAATATAACTGAACAGTTATGTAATTCAAATGCTTACTGTAGTTTGTTACGATGGGCTTGGTTAGGTGTTACAGATTCCGGTTTTGGAACAAGACCTTCCACCATTACCCGATGGATGGGCTAAATCGTATGACGCCAATGGTGATCCATATTTTATTGATCATAATTCACAGACAACTACATGGTATGATCCACGAATAAGTAAGTTTTTAGTTTTCTTTTTTTTTTTTTATTGAATTATTGTTCAAATTTGGAAGATGAAAGAGAGGAAGAGCTCTTTGGTTATTATGTGATATTTTATTTTCAGCGACGTTTGTCAATTGATTTCATTTATCGTTTTTGTTTTTTATTTTTTGCTTCTTTTTTCTTATTTCTGTGTGTGTGTGTGTGTGTGTGGTAAAAGAATAATCGAAAATGTTTCCGTTGATGTGTCATGTTTTTTGACGTAACAATTAAAATTATTCAATTTTTTTGCGAATCATTTTGAAGAGAAAGAATTGCAAGAGGAAGCAATTCGTCAAAGACACGCTTGTAATCGACAAAATATGATCAAACGGGATGTTTATAGCGAATATCAACAGGTAAGTATTTCATGCTCATTATGATCAACTCAATTGCTTTCTTCTTTTTCTTGTTCTTATATTTACTGTGTCATCTAAGGCACAGTAATTTAGTAGAGAAAAAAAAATTAAAGATCGGCAAAAGAAACCTTTTTTTTTTTTTTTTTACAATTCTAGCACCAAGAAAATTGATGCAATTACATTTCGAAGTCTTTTTTAAAGATTAAATACTGCTGTTGCTGCCGCTTAGTTTGTTTTGATACAGTTTTTTTTCGTTGAAAAGGAGAAGAAGAGGAAGGAGAAAAGAAAAAAAGGATTTATTGCTTAATTGCAATCTTTAAGATTTGCTTCTTTTCTTTCTATCTTTTTTCAGTTGCTGGTGATGATGATAATAATAATGATTTATATACATCTATTATGGTTTACAGCAAGACAGTTATTCTTTTTTTTCATTTTTTTTGTTGTTTAGGATGCGCATCCGTCTTTGGTGGAACGTCTACAGATGGAGCGAAGTTATATGCAGGAAAGACAACAGCAACTATGCAGAGAGGTTTCTAAACTGTTTTACCACTTTTAAAACCAAAATTTTTTGTCCTTTTTAAATGCTTTAAACCGCTTGTACTTTACCTGTCTGAGCAATTTGAAAAACTGATGATCTAAAAAGAGCTGTATCGTAGAGTTGAAATTCTTGACAGTTTCTATTACTGGTTGAAGGCTTTCTTTTTCTGCACTTCCTGTCTCTTTTTTTTTTTTTGTCGCTTTAACGGTAGGTTGAGCATAGTATAAAATGATCGTTAATTTAAAGATTCTACTTGCTTTCAAAATTTTAGAACTATATATTGGGCAACTGAAAGTGTTGCTCGGTTCTGTTTACAATCCCAAAATGTACATTAACGACAGTCAGACAATAGTAGCCAGATTAATCTAAGCTATTAACTGAGAAATGACTGGAAGATTGTTGTTGTGTCCGATTTGAGGGAGATGGGACATAAAACAAAGTTGATCGAGCAGCTTCTTCGTCTTTTAGGTGGAAAAGTAAATATTTGAAAGGTTTTTCGAGGGGTTTGACCTCAGTTAAAAGTGCATCTTATCGATAAGTTTAAGAGCATTTTCTCCTTCTGCAACGAAAAAATTGTGTATTTCTTTTGTTTAAACTATCTTTTCTTGCCATTAAAATTTGGCTGAAAATACGCATCTTTGTCAATGCTCCACGAGATGACAACCGTAAACAACAGAAAAGATGCTTTCCTAAAACCAATTTTACTTAACTTAAAAACAACACTGTTGTTTTTCGTATAACGACCAAAAAAGGTTTGTCATAATGATGGCGCATAAAACAACAAAAAACAATAGCAAAAAAAAAAATGTTGAGGAGAGCACAATTTTTTAGAACCTCATTTTAAGGAAGTGAGGCGAAGAGGAAAACACTGAGAAGTTATGTGATTTAAAGACGTCAAATATTGTCGTAAATCTTTTTTTTCTTGTTGATTCTTAAAGTTGCATAGAACTGTGCAAAGGAAAAAAAAAGAAAAATAGTGAATTGAATTCTGTAGTCTCTTGTTTTTTTTTTATTAAAATACAACTTGAGCATATTTCAGGGACTTCTAGAACCTCCAGGTCAACCACCGTATGTACCAATAACTGCTGTACATCAGCAACCTGTTCTAACAGTAATTATTAATCTTTTATGAATTATAAAATTTGTTACAACAATCTACCCATTTTTTTTTTTTTTTGAGAACTTTTAAGCAATACATGTGAAATAATTAGAGGGTTGCGATGGATGAGCTAAAAGTTGATGTTGTCGTTGTTTTTTATGTTGGTTTACTTATCAGATAATCATTAGTGATTCTCTGAAGGCGTTTATAGTTTCAACAAAAAAAAAAAAAAAAATTTTAACTTATTTTTTAAAATATATTTGTCTTTTTGTACATCTTTTTTATTTGCATATATTAATCCGTAGATATTTGTGGAAGTGTTGTTATCGTTGTTTTTTGTTTAAAAATTGGTCAATTTACAGGGATCTGCTGGCGGTTATCCCCAATATTGCAGTGATCCGTCAATGCGAATGCAAAATGAACTGATTGCACCAAATTATTATTCAACAAATGTAACATTATAAGAAAAAGAAACATTCTCCTATGACAATTTTCTTTAACTACTTTTTTTTCTTTGTTTTATGTATAAACTAACAATTTAAAAGTTGC